TCAAGAATAACTTCTAAAGTATCGTTAGTTGTTTATGCTTATATACCTGTATGGGGGGAGTGGTTTTCGACTTCCCGGGTGTGTGTTTAAATCTTGTAGGCCAATGGAAGAGAGAGGCTAGGCCTCTTGTGGCCAATCATATTATTGTTCTTGTTATCATGTGATGCCTGCAGTCGCCACTATGTGGCACTCTTGTTCCATGATTCAGCAGTGTTGGAAGAACCTTTTGTTGCTCAGTGGGGGGTTATCACAAGGGAAGTGGACCGAGCCATAAAGTCCAGTCAACCACAGGTGGTCATGTAGATCAAAAGGAATGGATGGCTTCGGGGTTCCCTGTGAGAAGGTAGATTGGGAGATCTCCCATTGTTCCCAGGGAGTAGAGGAGTTTTAGAAAGTTGGTGTGAAGAGAATTTGGGGAAATTCTCTTTGAATGTGTGGGGCTATGTGACTGTGTGTGCTCGGGAAAGCCTTTTGTTGTCTTAGCAGCTTCCTGCTGCAGACCCAACCAAATGTGAAAAACCACTGAAAATCTAACACTTACAACAGGAAGATTCTGAGGAACTAGCGGTAATATAAAGAATAATTTGCACAGAGAGAAAAAAAAATGTATGCTGTTATAACATTTTTACATTCCCTCTGGTTTAAGATGTAAATGTAAAGAACATAAATAAAGTCCTACCCTAAACCCTGAGAGAATAGATATATTAACAGGGATTTAGCCTTAAATAATGTGCTACCACTCTAAATACAATGTAAAGTATGTATTTATAGCGATTTCATGTCTATAGTAATGTGCTACCACTCTAAATAGAGTCAGAAGCACGTATTTATAGTGATTTAACGCCTATAGCAATGTGCTACCACTCTGAATAGAGTCAGAAGCACGTATTTATAGCGATTTCATGTCTATAGTAATGTGCTACCACTCTAAATAGAGTCAGAAGCACGTATTTATAGCGATTTCATGTCTATAGTAATGTGCTACCACTCTAAATAGAGTCAGAAGCACGTATTTATAGCGATTTCACGCCTATAGTTAAGTGCTTCCGCTT